TTAAATAAATCATCCAACTTCCAAAGCGTTGCTGGCTTCCAAGCAAATGTACTAAATCCACCCACACAATTGCCTGACGTTCTCCCCAGAATCTTTGAGCAGACAAAACACCACCAAGCAAGCAAGCAAACAAGCAAACAAACAAACAAACAAACAAACAAACAAATAAACAAAATAACCTGTTCACATCTTACTTGCTGGCACTTAGGGAGATACACATTCACAGCAGCTAGTACTAGAAACATGCCGTCCCTGGAAATTTCCTGCAAGTCAACAGTCCTCAAATGAGTAATTCATAATGGCTGAGCAGCCTTCACACTCGGGGGACAGATACTGTGCTTGGCCTGCCTGCATCATTGCTGACATGAGGCTTTGTATATAACCTAGGTAAAAGATTTGACCAAATGAGTAGAACCTGGGCCTGAACAGGTCATGTTTTAGCTTCATGGTGTACAGACTGGTGCCAGCCATGTTTACTTAGAAAGTCCATTAAATGGAACAGACTTACTCCCGAACAAATGCACATAGTAGTAGCCTATTTTAAGTTTTATGATGTGACAAAACATGTCTTTAGGTGATATGTTTTTATTTACACATATATACAACCAGAACATAGGATGGAGCTAATTGTTTAAGATGTGGATGAGGCTGCCCAAGGCCATTACCTTAACAAAGGAACTGGTCTGACTGGTTCACCAAGTTTCCTATTGAAACAATGCAGTTCTATGGAAGCATTCAAGAGATGATGTCTCTCTACCCTACATGGTTACATGCCCTTTATTCTCTGGCTCCTTTCCCCTAACTATACACCTTCCCATTGCTCATTACTTTTATGTACCCCTCCTCCTACCAGGACAATTTGTATTGGTACAGAATATGGTGAATAATATTTATAAATCCTGATTATAATGAAGGTTGCAATCCTCAGATCACTTAGTGCGTCACTCTTTGTAAAACAAATCTGTATATTTTAAAAATTTACAATCCTAAACATTCTTATTAGCAAAGAAGTCCAAATGAAACCAGTGGGACTGATTTCTGAGTGAATATGTTTAGGACTGAGCTGTAAAGCATGCAGAACATTTATGCAAAATAAGCACTTTAGCGTATATTGAATCAATTTGCATAATTCCTTCTGGGCATAAAAACTGTTTGCTTGTTGGAGAATTTGGGTCTCCTTAGTACAGAATTTATTAAGAATCAAAAAGAGAGGCAAACATCAGGTGGCTGCCCGAAGTAGAATTTCCTGGATCAAGAAGGCACCTCACACATTTTGACAAAACTTATTCCTCGGGGCAGAGTACAACAACGGCAAGTTGTCCCATTTCAAAAGTTGTGTCATTGGAGTTCTATTTCGTAAATGTATGTTCTTCTAGAATTTTTACCCAAAAGGGGGAAATGCACACTAGAGGTTGCAACCTTTTTTTGGTCTCGTGAGCACGAGTGGAATTTTGAGGCAGTGTTGTGGGTGCTAGGCACAAAATGGCTGCTATGGGGGTATGTCCTAACACAAAATGGCTGCCAAATCTAAAAGAGCTAAAAAAAGAGAAAGGACCACAAAAACATGTGGGCATGCCCTCCATCAGCCTTCCCATCAATGGGAAAGGGCAACTACATCAACCATTGTCATGGTAGCATAGAGATAAGCTCTTTGTACCTCTCCTCTGTTCAGAATGTCAGGGAAGGAGGATGTCCAGTCAATGGCTTCCAATAAAATGTGGGCAGGTTTAAGGGGCATGTTCAGTGTAGGAGAGGCTGAGCCACTGCAAACCGTCTCTCACACATTGCAAATTACTAAGAACTTTCACGATGGGGGTTACTCTCTTGGGCACACTGATTCCTGTGGGCTCCATGCTGTTGACCGTGGCAAACTGTCATGTTCTGTGGCTCCTCCTGTAAATAATAATCTAAATCTGCATTAAGATACGCAGTCCATTAAAGTGCAGCTTGTTATGTTTAATCACAATAAGACACGGCCAACAGATTCTTCTCATGTTTTGAAGAACCAATTTGTGTTCAAAATGTTTACAGTGAAAAAGACGGGCACAAATTCATCTCGTTTAACATCCAAGTTGTGGCATAAGCGCTATTTTTATGACCTGTGATACTATCTGCCCTGATGATAATGAAGATGGCATCCCTTGGGTCACTTATTGGGGCAGATCACTCTCTCTGTGATTGCTTTGGAGGAACCATTCTGCGGACTACAGTGCAAAACTGACATTGGTAAGACCATGTTTCTTTCCAGACTCCATGCTATCGGAGAACTGTCTGAATGTGGGACTAAATGTTGTTGTTTTTTCTAACCTCAAATTCAATTTGCCACATTTCTGAATCAGTTTGAAATGCAATAATAATAATAATAATAATAATAATAATAATAATCGCCATGAGAATCTGTCTGCATTCTCCTAATACACGTTTTGCAAGCAACATTACTGAATATAATGCACTTTTGTATCTTATTTTCACTATATATTTAATGCAAACTTTCCCCTAATATATAGTTTTTGGTTGAAGGCTTCTACTGCAAGATTCAGAGAAGTGCACATTTTGAAGGATTGCTGTATCCCCTCAGTCATGAAGCTCACTGGGTGACCTTGGGCCAGTTGCAGTCTCTCAGCCTAACCTACCTCACAAGACTGTTGGATAAGATGAGGAAGGGGAAGAACTGTGTGCGTGACCTTGAGCTCCTTGAAGGAAAGGTGGGATATAAATTAATAATAAATAAAATGTTGATTCATGTTTTGTTTTTTGGTGGGGTGAGGTGGGGAGATTAGGTAGTCTCACATTAGCACGTCAGCGGAACCAATTTTCTCCCCTACCTCAAGGCTAATTGCACCCTGGCAACTGAAGGATGCATTGAGTTTTGTTTTGTTCTTTTGGAGACCATTTCCTTCCAGATTGAAATAAGAACAGCTGACTCAACAAAGGCATTCTTATTTTTTCCATACAAAGGCGAGGGAGCCCCCATCCACAACTGACAACAGCTCTCATAAAACATCCCTTATTATTCATGGCCATCTGTTCAAAGAGAGCGAATGAAACGGAGGAAATGTCATGTTACATTCATGGAGTGACTGAGTGGGATGGACCCTGAAATACCACGCCATGGCAGCTCAGAATCGGGTGTGGGTGGGTGGTGGTCACCAGAGGGAGCTCTTCAAAGTGACAAGTGGGTGGCTCAGAAAGCAAGTTATGACAACACCAGCTGCAGGGATGTCACGATGACTAACAGCGCCAAGGAAAGGCAATTCCTGCCTTAACTAAACGGTGCAAATGATATCCACAGATGTTGCTAACTCATAATCAGGCTTGGCCACTGTGAGAACAGGATACTGGACTAGATGGGCCTTGGCCTGGTACAACTTTTTAATAAGATGGGATAAGGCAAAAAGAATGAGTGGCAAGGTAAGAGCCTCTGTGTGGCAGTATGTGAGGGAGGTGGGAATGAATTGGGCTACTGGTGCAATCCTATGCATGCAAAGGGTGTGGAGGGACCAACTGCTAAGTAAACATGCGCAGGATCGGATCACTGCTCATCTAATAATATATATTTTGTTCAGCATACTTTGCTTCCTCCCCCCAAGCCCTTTGTATCATTTATGAGGTTGTAATAGAGAGAAAAATATTGGGGTGGAGAACCGCTACTAATATTGGAGCGGGATCATAGGTCAGTGATAGTGCACTTTTATTTGCATACAGAAGATCCCAGCTCCAGTCCCTGACAAATTAAAAGAGAACCAGGCAGCAAGTGGTGTGAAATATATCTGCCTGAGATCCTGGTGAGCCCTACTGGTCCGAATAGACAATACTGGATTAGATGGAGAAATGGACAGACCTGGTAAGGCAGCATCCTGTTTCTGTTCCTACCCATTCTAGGGTTGTCTGGGAGACCAGCCTTTCCTAACTGTGAGCCCCTAGGTAGTGGTGTACTACAATCCTCATCATCCCTGACCACTGGAGAACTGATGCTTTGCTCTCAGAGGTGGGAGCAGCAGCTGGAGACCATCAGTGAAGGTAAGCTATTCACCCAGACCTCCACAGCTGCTGGAACGCCTCTTCCTCTTGAGGAAGTTGATCTTTTTGCACCTGTGGCTGGCAAAGTGAAGCCTGCCCCACCCCACCGACTGACAGATTGAGAGTCAATCTACCAGGGGAGTGGAGGCTACATCAGGCCTACCGGGGGTGGGGGTTGCCCCTTTGGAAGGAGCAGCTTCGAGAGAGGCAAGGACAGGGGCCACCCCCAGGACATCATTTTCTCTGGGGATGACCTTGTCTGAATTGTGTGAAAATGTTTTACGTTGTTTAAACTGCTAACTTGTGTGTTTTTAACTTTTTTTGGTTTTCATATAAATAGTGACTGTGCCATGTCCCAGCGCCTACTCCAACCCAGGGAATTGTGGTTGTCCTATCAGCCAGCCCTCAAGTCTGCGGCTGCTCTTGCTGAATGCCAGGTGGATGCAAGACATCCCTCATCCATGATCTCATTGTACATGACGGCAGCCAACAAACTGAAGCTCAATCCAGGTAAGACTGAAACACTGTTAGTGGGCAATTCTCTAGGTGGCCTGCTGTTGGGGGGGTTACACTTTAAAGGAGCGAGTACATAGCTTGGACATACTCTTAGATCTTTTGCTGTCACTTGAGGCTCACATGGCCTCCGTGGCAGTGGCCCAGCTGTGCTCCTATGCAGGCAAGGGATATCCTAACTTCTGTCATCTATGCTCTGGTAATCTCTTGGTTGGATTACTGCAATGTGTTACATGTGAGAGGGAAGTTATTGGTTTGTTTGGTTTTTTTATTATGTATTTTGTGTTCTCATTTTGTATTTTTATGTTGTGAACCACCCCATGACCTTCGGATGAAGGGTGGTAGAGAAATTTAAATCCATCATCATCATCATCATCATCATCAGGCCATGTTGGCTGAGGCTGATGGGAATGTAGTCAGACATTTGGGAACCCAATTTTGGGAAAGGCTGTGATGCAGTGAACAAAATGGATACGCAAGTATACTTTTAAAACCTCAGTAGTGGTATACTGAATCTAGCTCATATTTTCTTCCTAAGCATTAACCTGAGCTACTGGTTGAATTTCATTTATCTGCATTGAGTCAGTGGAATCATATGCACTTCATGCACATGTTTAGAGCCATTTTGCACAATGAGAATAAGAATGACACAACCCTGTTAGAACATGACCTATTCAGAGCACAGGTGATAAGGTTGCATGACTGAACACTCCCCCGTATCAAAACTCCCCAGCACAGAGCAGACTCAGGCTAGACTCTCTCAGTGATGTCCATACAGTGATGTTGCAGGTTGCTGCTTACAGCAGTCATCTCTTTCATGGGACCAGTGCCCTTAGTAGTGTAATATTGGTTGGAAGACTGATTGTATCTTGAAAGACTAATGAAAGACTGACTGCATCTTGAATCAGAAAACGAATCAGGCGATGCTTAACATCCATAACCCAAGAGATTCATTATCCACATTGCCAAAGCTAATCCTTGAGATAATCTTTGAGCTGTCAGTACCTTCCCACATTTGAGGCACAGCACTGATAGGAGCCATTCCCTGGGCACTTTGCACAAGAGTCGGTTCAATTACCTTTTCAATTTCCCATGTTTCCATGGCGATGTCCCACCAGCTCACATTAGACCATGTTCAAATGTTAGTGTGTTTGTTCTGCAATTGCAGCAAAGAGCTCTGTGACATCTTAAGGACTAACACACAATTACTGCAGCATGAGTTTTTGGTATAAGCCTGCCTTATCACCTGCAATGTAAAAAAATATGCTGTTGCCAAGAGACTCATTTGAGGAGACATTGGTTAGTCTTTAGGATACCATAATTCTGCTTGTTTTGTCCTCAAGAGATTTAACACTGTTAGTCTTCTAGAAACGGCGCTATCATTTTGTAGTGAGGCCATTTGTGTGACAAAAATATCAGATACAATTGAGGACTAAGGAACCATGACTAAATCCCAGCAGCGGCAAGATATCTAGATATACTGAAGCAGTATGCCATGGGTTCAGACATTACAAGCATGCACTCATAGACACTGATTTTGATCCATTCCTTTGGAGGGAGGTGGGGAAAAAAAGTCAAGCTGCCCAATTACCTCAAATTATTTATTTGCTTTTCAAATATGTCCCAGTATGAACAACTGGGTTTTTGCTCTGACGCATTGTACAGCAGATGATAGCCTTGAAAGTGACAACAGAATGCTTCAAGTGTATGTCCACATCAGTTTTTTCCACACACTATGATCCAGCAAAACTAAAAGATTCTGCGATGCACACCTAATGTTCTAGTCTGGTTTGGGTGCTATTTGTGATGTTAGAAGCACTATTTTTGTTTGTACTCCCAATAAGTCAGTTGGAGTGATTATGCACCTGGCGCATTTGTTCTGGTTTTTTTTACAGCAGTGCCCACAGCCCGAGACTAGCTGCTCTTATGGGAAGGCTTGCCTCTTTTGGAAGTGGGATATGCAGAATAAACAGGCAGGGGAGGCAGCTTCAGCTGCACAGCACCCTTTCTCGTGTGTTGAAATGGAGATAGTGTTAAGTGTGTAGTAGATATTTGGTGCTATTCAGTGCATGTTACTGTAGCGCTGCACTAATATTGTCTTTGTGAGATCCTATTGCTACAACAATATGTAGCTTAAATTGTGTGTAAAGTACATCTTTGGATCAATGGAAATACGTATTACTTTAATGGGACGTCCCCCCCCTGGGCACACCATTCTCAGGATTTAATTTGCTGTTGTTGACCTGAGGACAGGAATCCGCCTGATCACAGCTCTTTGCAAAAGATCAAAGATACAAAAAAGGGAGGGGAGTTGCCTTGAAAATACACCTGAAAAAGATGCTGAAGCTCCTTTTGTAACTTTGGCATCTTTTCTCATGTGTGTGTATCATTTAAAATTGCCAAAGAAAATGAGAGGTTATTGAACGTAAGAAATATCCCATGTAGCCATTTTTACAGTCAAAAACATACATGCACTTCTTATCCTAGGGTGTCTGTCCAGAAGAATATCTGAGTAGCAGTGCTGTCAGAGCAGGACTATGAGGCAGACATCCAGAGTCTCTACTCAACCCTCAATAGCTGTAGTGTTGACTTAGAACATACAGTGGTACCTCGAGTTAAGAACTTAATTCGTTCTGGAGGTCCGTTCTTAACCTGAAGCACCACTTTAGGTGCTGCCACTGCTCGATTTCTGTTCTCATCCTGAAGCAAAGTTCTTAACCCAAGGTAATATTTCTGGGTTAGCGGAGTCTGTAACCTGAAGCGTATGTAACCCGAGGTACCACTGTATTAAAATTGCACACATTACCATCAAGTGAAGGGGTAGAATGCAGAATACCATTAAATCCAGAGTTTAACGTTATAGAACTGTATCTTGGCAGTGCCCTATGCTGGCTTTGAACATGGCTGCCTATGTTAGGCAGCCAATTCAGAAATGTTTTCAAGAGTAACCCCAACCATGACTACCAAAGTTTCTGGTTAGATTCTGCACACCTTGGCAAGAGAATCAGAATCAGCTGTGTGCACTATCTGGGCTTTAAGAACAAGAAAAGAATTCCTCCCTCACATGAAAGCTAGAGCCTAGGTAACTGCAATGGGGCAGGAGGAGTCAAATGCATAAGGTGCTGTCACCAATGTGCATGTGCAGTGGGGAAAAGATTATGTACAAAGCTTACGAAAATACGTTACACGAGCACAGCTGCTGCTTTGACACAGCAGAAATGATGCATGTAATACAGGAATGGTGTGATGATACACTTTACATTACAAAATCACCGACAATCCCCACCCCTTCCCAAAAGTCTGCCACTCTTCTAGAATTGAAGGATGGGTAGGAGGGAACAGGTGAGAATATCAAACATTCGAGGTACAAATGTAATTACAATCATCATAGCAGTATATCTCTCTTAGTCCTGCAGTGTGAGCAGCTTTTAAAGACCAGTCTTTATTTATCCCAAAAGTGAATGTATCCTACAACAAGAAGTGTATCCTTAGAGAAAAGTCACAGGAAAGACAAGTTTGTGTTTTATGGCCAGCATGATCGTAGTATGCTAATGGCATATAAATTGGAATTTCATCCTATCCAAGTCTTGAAATACATCGTCTGGCCATGGTAGAGGGACTGGGTGAGGCAGGCCAAACCTATACAAGTTCAAGATGATAACGGACAGCGCAGGTAGTGTGGCCTGGAGCTAGAATGAGCAGGAACACCTGTTCTTCACTGCTGACACCTTGGGGTGCTCTTCAGCCAATTGCTTAATGGTTGGAGATGGCCAGGAGTGCTTTGCCACTGCTTCTCCTTGCAAGGAGGATGTCTTCATTTTTGTCCTGTTCAGGTTTCCCTTTGTCATCTCAAGGGTTGGTCATTGGAAATGGAAGATGCAAAGGGGGACACCTTTAGTGACTGCTCAAGCTTTGCGGTCTACTTTCTGAGAGTCAGGGGTTGCCAGGAGCACATTACACCAGGTCTCTACCATCCACACAGCATCTCTGTGTTTCACAAGTACAACTATTGTGAGCTGCCATGGAGGCCCAGGGCCAGGATGGCAGGAGAAAAATGTTAAAGATGAATAAATGCATTTCAACATGCTGGTTTTGACCTACCTCCTGCCCCCACATGAATTAGACCATATGTACATCCCCTGGCACCTAATCTGAATTCCAGTTTGAAAATTTGTTGAAGAGTGTCCCTGAGAAAGAACCCTGTTCAAATCATTTGACCCCAATTTTTTAAAAAAACTTTTTTTCCCCTGGGGCAACCAGAGATTCCCTCCCTTTCTCCTTGAAATTGGTGCCTTCCTGTTTATCCTTCCCATGTACCTTGATATCATACTTCAAATGCCACCCTAATCTTTGAGATCAGTTGGTTATAATTTCCATAGCAAAGTTTATGCAATAAGGGCATTAAGAGACTTAATTATGCAGGGTCACCTTAAAATCCTCTCTTCTCTTTTTCCACCAATTCCAAGCTTGAATATTTTCCAGGGATAGACATATGTGGGCTGGCTTTTAAGTTAGGATTAAAGAGGCAAGGGCATTTTAAAATTCTGGGATGGCCTATTTATTTTCTTAAGATTCTTTCAAACATCAGCTGCATTTGGTTTTAATCTGCTATTGCTTTCAACTGTTGTGATGCTCATGCTCGATCATTTCTGCAGCTTTCTTAATTGATTTCTGATTGTTTCATTCTGACGATGTCATCATTTTAATAAGCAAAGCATCATGGGATTCATATGGATATAGGACTACCTTCCTACCATCACAGTTCTCCTTGGCACATAGCAAAGCTTCCACTTGAAAGGAACTTGTCACACTTTTCTTAAAAGAGTCCTTGGGACACCTGAACTCAATGAATCCAGATGTCTCTTTTTGATGGTTCTGTCCAGTTGCTAAAGCCAACCCTACTGTGGTATTTGGTTGCACAGAAGGCAGATTAAGTAGCTGTCTAGCTTTATCAAATGGGGTGGAGAACAATCTCCCTTCCAATCTATGTAGAACTTATTAACAACAGAATTATTAGCAAAGCGATAAATGCTCACTCTTGATGGAGTTTGCCAAGATTCAGGAGGCAGAAAAGGAAAGTGCTTTCTTGATAAACTCCAAATGTCAAATGGGCTTATGTTCAACATAAAGTGACCCTTTTAATATCAGCATTTCTGCTCTTTCATGGTTAAAGTTGAGCAGGCCTGACAGCCTCAGAAAATTGCTTAAAAAAAGAAAGAACAAGAGTTAAAGCTTGAGTGGCCTCTAATGCTTTCCAGATCATTAAGGCTTGTGTTTTCCATTTTGCTTTATGAAGTGTGTATAGCTAAGCCAAGCAGCAAGTTCTTCAACAGCGAAAGAGCTCTAGATACAAAGCCACGTGCCTTTAAATTGGGTGGCAGAATGGCTTGGGAGAATGGAGTAGTGTTAGGGTACCCATTTTACTGATATTCCTTTCCTCAAAATGTTACTGAAATCACATATTCGCTTACTTTAAGCCAGCTCAAAGACCACTTTTCATGATACTTTGTCATTAAAAACAAAACGGTTTAGTTTTTTTCTTGATTTTTCCCTTTCCCAGCAACCCTGCATCCCCCTGAATGGCAAGCAAAGGGCCTGCTATCTATGGACCGCTTGGATTGACATGTGATCCATGTGCTCAAAACGGCAATGGAACAGCTGCTCTGGTGAGAAAGCATCTTAGTGATGCTGCTGCTATCACTGGGGGGAGGGGGCATCAGGATTAAACAGCATTACATGGTAGTCTAGATCATGCTTTGATGGTCATGTGCGGTCTCTGACCATGCTGGACACTTTGTGGTTAAATGCTACCAAGCCTATTGTAGGTTGTTTGGAGATCTTTTCTGTAACAAGCAACAGACAAGTTTAAATGAATGATGCCACCAGGGCAACAAACAAACAAACCAGCGTAGCCTATGTTACTCTGAGGTCTAATTTATGGTAGCATGAGGTGCAAGAAGTAGGTTTGCTTTTGGCATCTGACAAAAGAGGCTAGGGACAGGGAACCTGGAGCCCTCCAAATGTTGCTGGACTGCAATTCCCATCACCTATGATTGTGGACCATGCTGGTGGGGCTGCTGGGAGTTGGAGTCCCAGTGATGTCTGGAGGGCCACAGGTTCCCTGTTCCTGTAATAGGCTATAATAGTTGGTCTCCTGCTGCTCTTTGTGGCAATAGGCAAACATGACTACTCCTCTAGAATTGGAACCATGGATGGAGATGCATTTGACAATGGTTCCATGAGGTTATGATCTTAAGCTCATTTACGCTGGAAGTAAATCCAGAAATTCAGTTCAGTTTCTCTGAATCGAATGGGATTTTCCTGCCAAAAAATGTGACAAATATAAAACTGTGATCTCAGTCATGCCTATTTCAAAGCAAGATCTATTAAATTCAGTGGCTCTAACCTCCAAGTAGATGCATTTAAGATCTAAGTGGAGTCAAATGGATATATATACACACACACATATATATGTACACAAAGCTTTCCCCCTTGACCCTCTTAATTCCTAGTAAAAAAAAACAAATTTACTAAATGACTGGTTCTCCAAGCTGGTGATTTTAGAGTGATGGAGGCAAAAGGCCACCCTATTTGTCAGCAAGCTACTTCAGGGCAGTCCCTTGTACTTGAATGGTTTCTCTCTTACGGGTTTCAGTTGTCTGAAGCTTTTCCAAGGTTTGTGTGGTTCCATTTGGCAACTGAACATTTTTCCCCCCTTTCCTGTTGCTGCAACTCCATTTTGTGAAGAATATTTGGAGAAAAAATAAGTTTTCGTTCCTAGCTATAATGAACTCCATTTGCCAACAGTATCTGCCTACTGATAGAGTTTAGGCACCAAGTTGGATTATTCACAGCAAGGTGCAAGCATGCCTTAGCTTCGCCGAAGTGGGTGCCACATGGACACAGGCTTCCTCAAGGTGGCCAACATCTGGTTCCAATGCGTGATGCCCATCCCACCTGCAGCTGGGCCTATGACAACATGGCCAATGTTTTCAGCTCTCCCGTCTTCACAACACTCTGCGACAGTCACCCGGAGAGAAAGTTCCTGCAAGGACACAAGCGGATATTAGCAAAATTCCATTGACCCAATTTTTACCGCCATCAGATGTAGTTTGAGAAGTGGCTGCAGGTACCCTTGAAAAGCACTCTTAATTTCCCACTACTGATTATATATAGAATTCACAATCTGAATTCATGTCCTCATTCCATTCAGAAAAGTAACAATGCAGCACAATGAGATCTGGTAACAATGCAGAATTGCCCAACTTGATCTCAAAATCAACCCAGGGGCTGGAAGTATGCTGGGCCTGAAAAACTTGAGGGGGAAAGGCAACACCTTGATTTTTGGTGCAGCGTCACTTAGGAGGACTCCACAATGCTCCTTCCAATATCAGAACCACCTTATGGGAATGCTTAGCCTCGTAGCCCTCCACTATGAGTTATTAGGCATGCAACGTTTCACTAGCCATCAGCAACAGCTAGTTTCTTTCCTGCTTGACAAGTAAGCCCCAAGGGCCTTTCAGGCGCCTGTAAAATTTGTGTGCAATGAAACATTACTTCTCTTTCCCTTACATATTAGTACAGCTTTGAGAACCTTTGCCTTAACCCCCATGAATTTGCATCATCCTCAAGAAGGGACAGGAGAAGCCACAGCAGTCGGCCTTTGCTTGGTCGTTATGGTAACCCATCCTTTTTCTTGTCTCCATGCCACTGCTGAAGAAAGCTTCCTCCTTGTTATCTCTCCTTTGAACATTATTTCGTTAGATATGTTATATTAGCTCCCAGCACCGAAGCTTCTGAATGACTGAAAAGCAAATGAAATTATATATTCGGCCTTGCAGGTGATGCAATGATTGTGTTTACATCTCCCGTACTGGTTTTTCTTTCCCAGGGTTTAATTTGAAAGTCTCTGCCTTGAATGCCAAAAAACCTTGTGGGCGGAATCTATCACCAATCAAGAAAAGCTTCTGAATGGAGATTCATTAAAATTATAGATGTCAGCAGCAGTGAGGAAGAAACGAGTGCTACGTTCTTATTATGACTTAGCTGGATGCTGTTGTCTACTAATGATTTTGTCTGGGTTAATCTGAAGGCCACCTTCGCTGCTCAGTAAAAGACAACATAGCATGTTAACAAGAACAAAGAAAATGCAGGACGATACATGACATGGTTAGTTAAGAGATTTCCCCATCACCAATACATGTTTGGTTTGTTTCCTCTGGACTAAACAAACAAATTAACCTTCACCATTCAGATCACCAGTGTTGGCAAAAGGGCAATGTCTAACCCTTGAAGGAGGCTCTTGCCCTGGGCATGCCAGTTTATATCCCGTTTAATTCCATGCTCATTAGGATGTCCTCAGCCACAGCCAGCCCTCCATCACTTGGGTGAGCTTCTAAGATGAACAGACTAACATAAGTTGACGATAAAGAGAATCTCTCTCTGTACTGTTTTCCTAGAACTTCATTCCAAAAAGAAGTATCTGCATCACCTAAGGCTTCGTCATTAACATTTGTGAATTGTACCATTTGAAGCAGGTTTGTATTTTCAGGAGCATGGCTTGTGAAGGGAAGGAGCTTTAACCCTTTGCCCCAGCCATGGGCCCAGTTGGAATTGCCCTCTCCCCCACCATGCCTGCTATTCACAGAGGATTCCTATGACTGTGAGCGGTGAGAGGTTCCAGGAGCAAAACCCCGCAAGACCATTCTTTTGGATGAGAGCAACCTGGAGACTTCAAAAGTTTGCTTTATTTATAAGTGGAGCATAGTGGAAGCAAGCCATTGGAGTGGGTGGCCATCATTCCTATTGTGGGAAGGAATTCCACAGTGTAACTACGTGTTGTGTGAAGAAGCACCTTCTTTGTCCGTCCACTTTTAATGGCTGACAAAAAATCTGGATTCGACCAGTGACATGTGTGCACACAAGTGGACCAGCATGAGACAAAGCAGATGGAGTCATTACGGGCACAGCTGTCACGCACCAAAATGACTGTGTGAACTGGGCTTGAGATGAAATTGCTTCTAGCCTTTTCTAGTAGGCAGACCTTCACAGTAAGATGCTAGGATTAACCAAGGAATAGTTGGACTGAATTTTATGAGCCCTTTAACATTTTTTGGTGTATTTCATAGCCGGGCAGGCTGATCCTATGAACTGGTAGGAGAGGGTAAGTTTCCCCTGCGTGGTCTTGGTGTGAACTGTATGCCTGATGCTATAAACTGTGCTCTTAGCAATGCAGTAGCTCAATGGATGGTGCTGTAATCGTCCCTGTGAACCTGGAGGCTCTTACCTGTAGAACAATTGCTGGCACTGAGAAAATCATGGCTTCATTAAACACTGGGTTTGTGTCATCTCTCTTTGTCGCAGTCTTCTTCTTACTGATCTTTCTCCCGTCTTGCAGCAAGTACACTTTGACGAAAGGATCTGATAGGATGGTAAGAAGAGGATGGTTTTTACTGGGTCCCCAGGGGAAATTGTTTCTTGTATGCAGACTTAACCTCTGAAAAGATGTAGTATCTGAAGCTGGTGCTACTTTCAGTAAAATGCACCACTATATTATTTAATAGCGGGGCTAGACCTTGCCAAACTGGAACATATAAGCAGGTGTGTGTACAGGCAAGACCTTCATATATGAGACTTAACTTTTTTTTAGCTTAAGGTAAAGGTAAAAGGCCCCCTGACCATTAGGTCCAGTCGTGGACGACTCTGGGGTTGCGGCGCTTATCTCGCTTTATTGGCCGAGAAAGCCAGCGTACAGCTTCCGGGTCATGTGGCCAGGATGACTAAGCCACTTCTGGTGAACCAGAGCAGCACACGGAAACGCCGTTTACCTTCCCGCTGGAGTGGTACCTATTTATCTACTTGCACTTTGATGAGCTTTCGAACTGCTAGGTTGGCAGGAGCAGGGACCGAGCAATGGGAGCTCACCCCGTCGCGGGGATTCGAACTGCCGACTTTCTGATCAGCAAGTCCTAGGCTCTGTGGTTTAACCCACAGCCCCACCTGCGTCCCAGAGACTTAGCTTAGTTTAGTTTTAAAGGGCTATAATCCACTCACAACATTTTGGAGAGCGAGATAACACCCACAGGAAAAAACATACAAGTTAGAAGGACTGGCCATGTGCTCTTCACTTTTGATAACCAAGAGAAATCCACTTAATTAAAACTGGAAGCTAATTGATCACTTCTGAGGCTCTTCAAAGAGAATCACCCCCTACAGATATTCAGCTTCTGCTGATGGTTATTGAAGAAGCCCAAACAGGATGCCTAAGAGGGAGACATTGTGGAACAGTTGATTACTGCCCTGCTGTGGCAACTCAGAAGTTTTAAAATATTAGATGAAATTCATTTTCTGCGGGTGTGCCCTGGATGCTATGATGAAGCCAGCTTAAAGGTGAGTATGTCTGAGTCTCTGCACCTTAAGGTGCCTTACTTTCCCCTGTGAGTGGCATAACCTCACCACATGCAGCTGAAACTATAGGGCAGGCCCCCTAGTATCGCAGATTGGCACCAAGACAGATTTGATTCCCAGCTCGTCTCCTCCTAACAACTAACCACTAAGAACAAGGAATACCCAGAGCTTAACAACAGTCTCTAAAAGAGCACTAAAGAAGACACTGAGGTCCAAACTAAA